AGCGCAAGCTCCTCAGTGGCAGTGGCGGCGGTGGCGGCGGCAGCACCAGCAGCACCAGCGCCACCTCCTCCCTTGTTCGTCCATTCGCGCCGCAGCCTCCGCCCCTTTGCCCCTGCCCCTGCCCCCGCCTTAATCCCGCCTCTCCGGTCGGGGCTGCCTGGTGGGCTCGGCCTGCGCTTGCTGAGGGAGCGGAGGACGGGCTGAGAGCAGCCATGATGGTAGGTTGCTGAGGAGCCGCGCCGAGGCGTTCGGCTGAGGGGGAAAAGGGAGTGGCGGATGGGGGCCGCGTCGGAGCCCGCCTTGAGCTAACCTGCGCCTTTTCTTCTTCTCTTTTTCTCTTTCCTCGCCCGATGTCTGCGCGCCTCCTTCGGCTTCTCCTGCGGCCGCCTCCGCCCTTTCTTGGAGCAGGAAGGCTCGGACGACGGCCCAGATTTCCTTTCCGAGGAGGACCGTGGTGTAAGTGCCTTCGCCCCTCTGGCTGAAGAGAGCGATTATTTTCCTTCACCCTTTTGTCCAGAAAGATTGCGGGGGGGTGTTTCCTTCAAAAGGCGCAGTGGCGGAAGGATGGGGAGGGGGGCTAACGAGTGGGGATGCCCCCCTCGCCCAAATTGGCGTGTAGGCAGGCGGGTTGGGGAGAGCCGGCCGCCGAAGGGGCGCGTCGGCCGCGTCGCCCGCCTGGACGAAGTAACGGGACCGGTTTCCTGGTTTACCATTTGCACCGCTTTGGATGATTGAAAACTCCAGGCTGTCGGGGGAGGGAACTGGGTTCAGCTTCACGGGGGGGGGGGGCTGATAGCTGGTCTTCCAGTGGAAGAGGAAGCTGCAGATGAATATAGAAGTACTGTAGTAGCGATAATAAAAGGTAGGCAGTATTGTTCTAACTGAACTCTGTACATTGAGTTGAGTATTGCCCCCAATTGCCCTGTAAATTAAGTGGGTGTTTTGGTGTAAATACTTAAATACCGCTGGACCTCTGTTAAAGTTGACCATTCATTGTGATTGTTTCGTTTAGCATTGCATACTGATTTAAAGTGGTGTGCCTAGGTTGAGGCGGCTTTCATCTTTGGTCTGGTAGGTGACATGTGGCTTCTTAATCTCTTAAACCTTTTGTTTTAAAAGGAGGCTGGAAGGCTTCAGAATACTACAGTACATTGTTTTACAATTGCTGTGAATGCTTCACCTAGTATGTTTTGGTTAGTGAGCTGATTTTATTATTACATTTCTAAAATCAACCCTCGTTACTGTATTTTATTCTCATAACAGCCACGTGAAATGATTTTCTCAAGGTCAGTTTTAGTAAGCCTAAGTGAACCTGCCACTCCCAGTCCAATACAAACCACTGCACCAGACTAGTTCTCAGACACACATAAAGAAAATGTGTGCATGTGTGTGTAGAAACAGTGAATTGATTACTTTAGACAATTTACTTTTGGTTTCAGATAAACTAGAAGAAATCATTATTCAAATAAGTTTTGCTGAGGGAGAATCAACATGGCTTTTCATTGATAAGTCCTGTGTTACTATTTATAATTATTTGAGAGTGTGATTAATTGTATGTATAGAGATGGTTTTTGTATATCTTGTTTTCCTGTACAGCACAGAATTAGTGGCCAGGGACCTATATCGGGAATTAGAATTGGAAGCTAAGGACTTACATTAGGACAGATACTTTTAAATGTTGTTCATAAAATATTAGGTGATAGTGAAGAGCTCGAAAAGGATATATCCATGCAGGGGAGAGGGGCATGAAAATATGAAATGATGTTCATTTTAAGCAGATGTAAATAAGCTACATTTGTGTAACAACATGCACTGATGGGATGAACACGATGAATAAATGTTGAGGTTGTGGTGAGTAGTTTAAAGCGGGCATCAACCTGATGCATGATGGCTCTGAAAAAAGCAAATTCAATGTTAGAGCTGATTAGGAAAGAAAACAAAAATAAAACTCCATTGTCATGCCCTTATGCAAATTCATAATGTAGTTACACTTGAAATCAGGGTTACAGTTCTGGTCACTGCATCTCAAAAAGGATGCTGTAGAGTTGAAAATGTGAAGAAGGGGTCATGTGGAAAATGAAGGGCCAGGAGCAGCTCGCCAGTGAAAAAACATACAGTACTAGGTCCTACAATTTTTTTATCTTAGAAAAAGATTAATAAAATACATGGGAGAGATGTATAATACATCTCACAAGTTTTGCATAGTGTTGGGAAGATACTCATAATATTTGAACCAAGGTTTTCCAAGGATGCTACATGGTGAAACAGTTTCAGGATGTTAAAAAAGTACTTTGCCTACTGTACAGTTATAGAGTTCAGTACTGTAAGGTACGGTTATGACCACCAACTTGTACAGTTTCCCCAATTGCTGGGGAAGTCAGTGGGAGTGTAGTGTTGCTCTCCTGTCCTTTTTTTGACCTTTCCAGTAGGGATACGTATTAGCACCAGAATTTGGATTCTAAATTATAGCCCTTCAGATTTGGAATTTTAAAAATTCAGAATTTCCAGATAACTGGAGCTCTGTTAAGGTTGTAGTGAACACTGAATAATTATTAACCCCTTTTAAAAAACAGGTAAAATGTTTTTGAAGAACATTCCTGTGTCTCTGACATTATCCCAGTGATTGTACCAAACAAAAAGAGTGCCCATTAGAGATGGGTGCAAGCTGCCATTCTGTGGTCTGGCCACACAGCTTCTTCCATGGGTGTACCTCGGCTTCCCAGACATGCCTCTTTCAGCAGATACCCACTCAGAGGTAATGGTGCAGCTTCTCAGCCCTGCTTCCTCCAGGCACTGCCTCTGAGTGGGCATCCATTGGAGGAGGTAGGACTGGGAAGCTGTGTGGCTGAACCACAGAATGGCGATTTATATTTTATATTGATTTGGTTTTATTGGTCGTTGACCATAATAAAAGTATTCATTCATTCAATGGCGATTTGTACGCATCTCTAGTGCGCACCAACAAGCAGAAGTGCCTAGGTTTTAGGGAATGATTGTAATGAGCATACTGATTGAACCCTGAACAGTGTGAATGCCAGCAGCATTTGGGAGGCAGAGGACAGATTGCACTGGGGCATGGGCAGATACTCTGGGCGGGCAGATACTCTGGGCATGCAGATTGGAGCAGCAGATAGCCTGTGGTGATTAGGAACTGTACCAACAGCATGGTGCACAGTTGAGTAAGTGAGCACAATCTTGGAGGAGCATACCTGTGAATGAAAGAGGCATAAGGAGGGGACAACTGCAGCATGGCATACCTATTACTGGCAGCAGGGTGTGCAATCCACTCTTCCTTAAAGGAAACTTTGGGGAAGCCTAGCAATGTAGATTGACCTTAAAGAAAATAGGTTTTTCTACAGATCCAGGTGTGAGTGGTGTGGATTGATAGTGTCCCCTGTCTGAAAACACACTCTCACTGGCCATACTAATTGATGGTATGCCCATCTTGGCTAGACCTCCCCAAACAGACTCCTTCTCAGCCTAGTAAGAGAAGAGATCAGTCTCTTCTGGCTTGTAGGGCTCCTGCATGTACACCTTTCCCTCTGCTATGACCTTCCTATGGGGTGGTGTCTCTGGAGGACAGGGTTCTGCTGTGCTTTTCAAGACTGTCTCAGAAAGCTTTCCCTGTTGTTGCAGGGGCCATAGACTCAGACTCTAGAATACAACTGCTGCTGTTGCTGTTTGGGATGCTAGTGAGACCCCTTGGTGCTAGCCAGACCTTGTTCACTAGCTGCTGCTGCATGTAATGGAAAGTTGCCTGGCACTTCCCCTCCTCTTGCTGCTGATTAATATTTATTATCTGCTGTTTAATTTAGAAATCTGAAAGGCTTGCTAGAACATACTCCTTCCACAAGAAGGCAAACCTGTAGTGCAGCAGGTTCTTTATCTTGCTGACTAGGGCCACCACTTCAGGCCAGAAAAAGTGATGTTCTCCTTCTGTGGAATCCCCCATTCGCCTAAACTGTCCCCTCATTATTCCCCCATCATGCCCTGGCTGAATTGCACAAACACATTACTGAAATTTGTCTGAGATTCACTCATCTTGAACCAGAGGCTTCTTTGCCATCTCCTTGGCAAAGAGACACACACCCTGTGCTGCTGCTTGCTGCTCTTTCATAGTGTCATTGGAGAACAAGGCAGCTGAGTGGCAGATTTTGTTGGGGGTGGGCTCATAACTGCAGTTGTAGGCTGTCTTTTTCCTTCCCCTTTCCCACTCCTCTGATAAAATGCTTCAGTGGGTTCAGGCAGAATTCCTTCAGCCTTCGCCAAGAGCCTACTTTTATGTGCACATTTCATGCTGCCTTCAGACTCCTATGAAAAGACTAACAATACAGTGGAACCTCTACTTACGAACTTAATCCATCCTAGAAGATGTTCGTTAGTTGAAATGTTTGTAAGTAGAAGCAGAAGTTCCCATAGGAATGCATTGGAAACCATTTCATTGGTGGCCCACATGACAACGATAATCCATTCCGGGAAAATCGCTGTTTAGCGAAATCGTTGTCATGTGAAATCAGTTTCCCCATTGGAATGCATTGAAACCCGTTTAATGCATTCCAATGGGGAAAATACCTCGTCGTCCAGTGAAGATCGCCCATAGGGAAGCCATTTTGTGAAGTGCTGATCAGCTGTAAAAATGGCTGCCCTGCGAAGCATGGTTCCGGAAAACACAGGGCAGCCATTTTGCGGAGCCAGAAAAATCGTCGACTTGCGAACAACCGGTTCGCAAAGCACGGACCTAATCGATGTCAAGCGAAAATCCCCCATTGGAATAACTGTTTTGCAAATCGCTATAGCGACCGCAAAAATCATCATAATGCGGATTTGTCGTTCAGCGGGGTCGTCGTCTTGCGAGGTACCACTAATCCGTTCTGGCTGTTTTAATGCAAAGCCAGGTAATCCATCCTCTACCACTAGGGGCAGGAAATGAGGCAGGGGGGAGGGAACACCTTCTAAACAGAACATCTTTTAAAAGAAGCAGCTTTTAAACAAAACCAAGCCAAGCACCTTTTAGGTAAAAAAAAAAGGGCAG